TCATGTGATTTGTAAAGTGACTCGTCGTCGACAATGCTTCAGTCCATTCTACTTGTTGCTGTCCCAGTTTTCCCGGTGACCCTGTTTTAGCGAAATTGGTCCAGGCGACGAGCATCTCCTTGCTCAGTTTGTAGTCCTCTGGTTGAGAGGCGTTCANTACTTGTTGCTGTCCCAGTTTTCCCGGTGACCCTGTTTTAGCGAAATTGGTCCAGGCGACGAGCATCTCCTTGCTCAGTTTGTAGTCCTCTGGTTGAGAGGCGTTCACTGCAAAGAGGTACACAACGTCCTCGATGTGACAGACGCCCTTCCATCCTGTGCAGTCGCCAAATGGAAATGGAGAGAGAAGTGGCTGCGTCAGTTGGTACGAGTAGTAACGACTTTTGGTTTCCTTCTTTTGCTTTGAAGCAGCTTCCCGCACTGCTTCGCCCATCAATACAGTTGGACAAACGATGTTTGGATCTCCAAAGGCGTCGCTCATGATGGTTCTGTTATTAAGAAAAAAAATTAAAAAAGACATTTTTTCTCGTCATAGCTATTACCTCAGCTTATCTTGATTTGCCTCATCTTCAAACTTTAGGCTCTTCAAGTAAAAATCAGCAATTTCAGCCGTTTGCGGTGAACCCACATGCAATTTCTCAATGTACTTCCTCACCTTCTCTTTGGTGAGAACCGTTTTCGGCGAGTTGAGCTCTGGAAAAAGCATTGCCACCACAATAGAGCCCTCATCTCGGTTCACACCGTACATAAGATCTACTTCAGTGTTAAAGTGACCCTCTTGAAGTGCCTGAACTCCATCAACAAAAGGCAGCACTGCGCCATCATTGAAAGTCGGGGCAAGTGGAAGAGTTAAAGTTTTTGAAGCGACTAAAATTTCCTCCACACTTTTGCCTCGAAGACACTTTACTACTGAAAGCTGATCAGAAAAAGAACAGTTCAACTTGGCGGCCAGCTCTTCAGTCCTTTTCAGCGGTTGATTGACGGCGTTTGTGAGTGCTTTGCTGGCAATAGCTCCCGATTGGAAAATTGCTCGCTTAAAGAGGTTTAGAGTCAGAGGAGAGAGAATTAAGGCAGAGACGCTCACTGAACCAGCCGATTCACCAAAAATCTGAAAAAGTGTTGATTTGTAATTTGGTTTTGTGCAGTTTCAATTGTTACCGTTATTTTCTCTTTGTCACCGCCAAACGCGGCAATATTTTCGCGCACCCAAATCAGACCCAGAATTTGGTCATGAAATGCCGCATTGGCAACCACTGTACTGGAGCTGGTGTTCAACGGTGGGCCAAAGTACGAAAAACCAAAAGTGGACAGACGATAGGCAACTGTCACGACGATCACATCTCGACTGGCAAGAAAACGACCATCGTACATTGTTGAGAAGATGCTGCCCGACTCGAAACCACCTAAAATTAAACGATTTAGAGTTTTTTAGCATTTTCAAACAAGTGCAACAAACCTCCGTGGAAGTAGACCATCACTGCTCGATTGGCCTTCTCCGTCTGTGGGCGCCAGACGCTGACAAAGAGACAGTCCTCACTCATCGTCTTTGTTTGGCCGTTTGGATCATTGTACGGTGGAATGTCAAAACCATTTTGAGGACAGGCGTCTCTCCAGTGGGTGGCATTA